TCACCAAAAGAAATATATATATATATATATATATATTGTTTCACGGCAACAAATCAAAAGTAAAATAGTTGATTAATTTAAATGTTACGCAATGATCAGTTTCAAGTATAGGGTTAAATGTGACTGATAAAGAAGTCTTAACAAAGTCAATATTTATCAGATAAACGGATTCATGTACACTGGCAGGATATATGTGTCTAGCGTGTGTAGGCCTACTGTATCTAATAATAAAACAATGAGATTCAACATTATTTTCATCAAAGGTAAAAACAGTAAAAGAGTGGGAAATGAAATGCTCGTGTAGACATATTTCCTTTCTTTTGGTGATGTAAGCAATAATACGTGCGTGGACATGAGCATGTAGAAAAGAAGAAAATTAAAACTCTAAACACAATATTCATTATTTGTGAATTGTTAATATATTTTTTTATCACGAAAACGTTAAATAATTATTATATTATGTAAATTGTGACCTACATGAGTCTTTGTCGCAATCTTGATCATGGAATCCGACTGGACATTTGCAAAAGTAGCCCGGATTCTGTGTCGCCTCCACACATTCTGCACCGTTTTGACATGGGTTTGGAGAACAACCTGAAGTAAGATATTGCAGATTAAAAACTCTGCTAAACAAGTTTAGATTAATCCGTATTACTTATGACACGTATATTAATAATCTCACTGCATTTGTATGCTCATATATAGTCATGATGTGCCTATATATGGTCATAGTTATGATGTCATCATGACCATATATAGGTATGCCACATGTTCTTGTCAAATAAAATTTGATAGTCTTGTTGTGCGAGTGTACTCTATTAATAGAGTACACTCTATTAATAGAGTGTACTCTATTAATAGAGGTTATGCACAGTACCGGAAGATGATCATGATGAGAGCTTTAATCGTGAGTAAAAAAAAATCCAATGTTTCTACTAATATGTAATTATTCATTATTTCCATGATTGAGAAACGAATGATAGATTTCAAAAATCATTTCACATTTTAAAATGTAATAATATATGTAATCATAATATTTGATTATTTGAAGTTCAGCTATAACATAGGCCTACTAAATAGGAACGTATTTTTCCAAGATGCAACCAGGCCTTAGGCGAAGGCCTACACAGTATTTGAATATGAATATTTATGGTACTTACTTGAGTCAACACAACAGAAACAAAGGTAAAAAATCAAAACGATATGTAGAATCCGATGTTTGAAAATGGTATAAATTCCATACATCTTATTATTATCTTTGTAACAGCAATACCGGTGGTTCAAAAATATTACGAAGTCAGATAAAATCACCAGTAAGTTTTAGGTCTCTCCACCTGCACAGTAAAATTTTCTGGGCCAGGCCTTAATCAAAATAAAACTGGGAACGGGTTTTTTGTGTTGTATATTTCCTTCGTCGTGGCCTGTACAAATATCTTAAGAAATCATGTTGAATGCAGAGAAGGCATTCCTTTAAAGGTACCTGTAGGCATCTGTAAATGACGCCACTAAATTTTACAATAAGCGTTAAGTTATATATATCTACTGCATGGAAAGTACGGTTCCGGTCCACTACTGTAATGAAAAGTGTGCGGACAATGTACGTATTTTGTTCATTAGTGATGATCGATATTATTAACACCTAGTCATAGTAACTCTAAATCTGCTGTTATTCTATTCATTATCATTGTGTTTTGCAATACAATCAATGCAAAACACATTGTAGTAAGTCCACTATATTTATTCTGCGTCATATTACAATGTAGAATATTAATTCTTAATTTAATCAAAATATAATAAAATAAGATCATTCAAAAAAATAATCTAATAATAATATATATTTTATTGTTTATAATGCAAAAATGAAACTCGGTTTATAGAGCTTTTCATAATGCTCTTAGTAATTTAAGAACTTACCAATAAGTAATAATATGTTATTTAATATTCATGAATAGGCCTACGCACATGTCTGACAATTCATATAGGGCCTACACACGCACGTACGTATTATCAAAGGCCGCACACCCTAGCAAATATATTTCGATTGCACGACGACGGTAGGACGTAGGACGCCCGGTAGGACGGTAACACGTGAGTGCAAAATCGAAAGATCCCCGAAGAGAGCGCCTAGTTTTCCACATAGGCGAATTTATTCGCGCGAATCAAAGCGTCGGCTCGCTTCAAGAGCTCTGTTTGGAGTCCGTTCCATGCACTTAATTATTGTGCATTTAAACGTGACTTTTTTTGTTGTAAAAAACATATCCTCTTTCTAAAATCAAAATGAAGTTCCTTCCTTAACTTTGACGACCACCATGTCGCACTGATGCCTGCACGTGCCTATTCCAGATGTTTCTTATCCCGTGTCTATGAAGGTCGTTTCTACCTACCTTTGTTCTTATGTCCATCCAGGGGCCTGAACACCAGGTCGTAGCGACTTCCTCATTGTACGCACACACTGACAAGCAAGTTGCAATCTTCTTCAACTTTACTTTTTCAGAAAATTTAATTGAATTTTTCATTTTTATGTGGAAACATTTTTTTTTAAAAAGGATTTAAAAGGATTTAGCATGTCTATATATGATATAATAACTCTGTGAAACTTGTACCATTATTTATGTACTTTTGGGTTTTTTGTATCTGTGTATCTGTGAGGGAACTAAGTGATAATTTGTGGTCCATTATGGCGTTCCTTGACCCATTTAATAATCCTTTTATATTGGCGTTACATCAACTTTTTTGAAGATTTTGGTGATGGACGAACATATGTTAGGCCTACTGAAACATTCCAAGACATTATTAACAACTTGTGGAAACCAAAAACAATTGATCAGATTAGCTACTTTTTCTTCATGTAAAGCTCAAATCGATTTGGATGCAGCATGTCCATTCAGGTGATTTTTTTTTTTGATTTTTTTAAACAAAGGACAATGGACCTTTCAGGAATGTCAATCAAACTTAAAAACAGGACTAGATATAAGCGCATGTCCTACAAACGCATGGTTTGTCCCACAAACGCACGTTTATAGCTGTCTCTTATACACATCTAGATGTGTATAAGAGACAGACTTTAGCGTGACTTCATTGGATATTTCTAAATGAGGAATCCGATAGCAAATCAGAGCGATATTGACTTCTATACATAGAGGTGTCAGGCTCCTCCGGAAGGGTACATAACATAAACATACAATGGAGACAGACGGCTTCATCGTACAGTAACGGTGCCATTAAAGTTCATAAATATTGAACAATCAATCGGGGTGTAAAACTCTATGACAAATGCACTCGAAATAATTTGAACAATTGGTTTAATGTTGAACGGGGTTTCTATGGTTATAAGTTCACAGGAATCCCACAAAATTCTGACTTATAAGCCGCCTGAACACAAGTGAAACATTGATTGAAATTATTCGGCATCATTTAAAAAATAAAAATATGACAAACATTAGAAAATTCAAGTTACAAAATTGCATCGATATATAAAAAATACTAGAACAGTAAAAGCACATACATTTATAAAAGTGTGAACAAAATTAGTAACTACACCCTTCAAACAGAATGATGGACATGCCCAGACAAACTATTAAAATATTTTAAAAAAAATTTAAAAAAATACTTTAATGGGGTCTAAAAAATCACATCATCACAAGCTTCCTCTTATAAACATTTAAAATAAAATCAACGGCGTGAAAGATAGAAAAAAAATCATACAGCCAGAGGTGGAGCTGTGCTTGTTGGTGCTTGTCTTCCAATCCTGTACAAATCCTGCGATCAAATCATGCATTCAAATAATAATAATAATAATAATAATAATAATAATAATAATGAAGATTTATAAAGCGCACATCTCCACCAAAGGTGCTCAAGGCGCATAGACAATTAAACCAACAAGATCCAAATAATTCCCAGAATTTTCAGCAAAATCCAAATACCAAATTATCCCATCGAGGCAGTGTTGCTCCCCATATAAGTATACGCAGATACCCAAAGGCAGTATGTTGAGCATCAGCACCTTCACCCCGGGATAAGCCCGGGGCTCCACTACCGTGCACTGCAACAGGAGCTGCATTGCCTCGACAAAGAAAAGTGGTATCATGTGTTTTGTTTTTATTTAATTTTTGCAATGTTGATGGTGTGGAGCTGTAGCTTGGTCTTTAAGATGCTTGCCTTCCAATCATAGGGTCCTGGGTTCAAATCCTGCAATGTTGATAGAGTGGAGATTTAGCTTGGTGGTTAAGATGCTTGCCTTCCAATCCTGGGTCTTTAGTTCAAACTTCTCTTATTTCTTTTATTTTCTATATGAAAAATTGATTTTTAGCTTTTATTGTTATAAGCGTAAATCAATAGTACTTGACAAAAAACAATGGAGACAATATAAAACAATATTGAAATTTGTATTTCTTTTTATAAAGTTGAATACGTACTACACTGTATTAATATATTATTATGACTAAATAAAACATTACATTTTGAAAGCACAGTTAGCAAAATACAACAAACGTATGTGAGAGATCAAGGTGACACAAGAAATAATATAACAATAATGTATAAACAAAGGACAATGGACCTTTCAGGAATGTCAATCAAACTTAAAAACAGGACTAGATATAAGCGCATGTCCTACAAACGCATGGTTTGTCCCACAAACGCACGTTTATAGTACAATTACGCTATTGAGCGAACAGATCTATTTTATAACAAATTTCGCTGATACTGTATACAGGCGTCTTAATGGACCTTTCTGTTGGTCATCCTTCTATTTATGATATCTGCTGTATGTATTATTATTTATATAAATGGAAAAAAAACAATAAACGGAAACTAAAGTGAAACGTTCCGGAGTGTCAATCAAAATTAACAACTGACCAATCAGAACAGGGCCAGGAATACGTGCATTTCTCACAAACAGATGTGTTGTCTCACAGTGTTTGTTGACGTTTTAACACTGCTGTTTTGTGGGTCATTAGCAACAATATATATGAGCTCAGCGGAAAGTTTGATTGGTGGCAGTATACTTGAAAGACATACATCAAACTTAAATTGGTGGTATGACTATATGGCATTATAACATCAAACTTTTTTTCCATGATTTTTATTCTTTTTTATTTATAGTTTTATGCCATGGCATAGCAATTAATATTACGAACAAACATATCAAATAATTACAAATAAAGATGTGGTAGACAGGACTTTACAGTCTAAAAACTTTAATTAATTTGATAGATTGTGAAGGGCTGTCTACCTAATCTTTATTAATGTTAATTGATAACTTCTAGGCAAGATTTGTTTGTAAACAAATAAGAATACTATATCAAATGTTTGTAGTAAAAGTCTATCTACTTACTGTAAACAGCTCTATATGAACATTTCAATTAATCAATCTGTTTACAATTATAAATCGCAATATAGTACTTTATAAAATGCAATAAAAAAAAAGTTCCTATTAAAATTATTTTGTACAATTATGTCAAACATTTGGGCAATATCAACAACTATGACTGCATAATTTTTAGAAAATCCTCTGAATAATTTTAATTATAATTACATTGCTTATAGGATGTTCAAGTATTGCACTTTAGTGCTACTATCTATTTTATTTTATTCAAGCAATCTTCATTGCAGCATAAAATGAACCTTCATACGATTTACAGTACCAATAAACACAATGAATGATCAAATCACTAAAAAACAATATACTTTTAAAATAAAACGGTTAAAGTCAGACTTATTGAACCGTGAGAAATTACTTTTGACTCATAACTTTCACTTTAAGCAAAGGGTATAGAATGGCAAGAGGTTCGAATATCTTTATTTTGTATGAAGGCAATGAAACGAAAAACGTGTAACAACCACAAGAAAGGGAGCGTCCTATTAGAATTCAAATCAGATAGAGTTTGAAATTCGAACATGTGTTCTATAGACACAGAGCGCATTTGATTCGAATGACTTTTACGTTTATATCACTTCTTTTGAAGGACGCCCTCTAGTTTGTGGTAGTACTTTTCGAGACAGAATTCCGTTTCAAGGCAAAGTGGTGAACCACAAAACCTACAATGTACATACCCACTCTAATTAAATATAACAAATATGCATTAATGCTAATAGACATTGATTGAAATTTGAGAGATGAAAATCACCACAAACTCAATAAAAGACAGCATTTTAAACAGAAGATATTGAGTTGATTCAGGTTTTTCCTTTTCTGCCAATGACAATCGGCAGACGGTGTCGCCTCGCCTAGGACTCACACAGGGAGCGGATTTGAGTTTGTTGTGCGACAATGTAAGTGCCCAGCTTCACATATACATCTGATATCACTTCAGCATACATGAATTATTCAAGGCCATAACTATGCTGAATATTTACTTACAATATTTTAACTACAGAAACACTATCAAAATCAAATGCTACTTATTTAACACACAGGAAGACATTGGTCACATATAAGTTGTAAATAAATACAATATGACACTGGCTCCAATATACTGAAGTCAATATTTGTATAATTGAGAATAATTATGCTTTCTTATTTAACACATAGGAAGACACTGGTCATGCATAAGTTGTAAATAAATACAATAGAGTTGTCACTTGAAAGTTACTCCAATATACTGAAGTCAACTTTTATATAATTAAGAATATTAAATTGTACAATAATTATACTTTCACACCAATCTACTACAGTAAATAAGGAATAAAGAATAATTAACTAAAAAATGAAAACCAAGAGTGCTGTCTAAGTTAACTTAAAGTAACATAAGAAAGAGGTTGAAATCACCGACACCAGACTAGCATAACATGAAGAGAACCCAACACTTACTAAATAGGATCATCAGAGAGAAAAAGAAGGGTAGACATCACTGATACAAGTATAAACTAAAGAGTAACAGACAGAGTGGTAGATATTCCTGTAAACCGAAGAGAAAACAGGAATATCAAAGAGAGGTAAACATTACTAAAACAGGTTCTACTGTACTGTACAAATTGTCACCATTTCTACTGCACTGTAGAGCCTGTGGCCATGCCTACTACACTGTAGTCTCTAACCACCTGTTCTACTGTACTGTACAAATTGTCACCATTTCTACTGCACTGTAGAGCCAGTGGCCATGCCTACTGCACTGTAGTCTGTGGCCACTTCTTCTAATGTACTGTACAAATTGTCACCATTTCTACTGCACTGTAGAGCCAGTGGCCACGCCTACTGCACTGTAGTCTGTGGCCACGCCTACTGCACTGTAGTCTGTGGCCACTTCTACTGTACTGTACAAATTGTCACCATTTCTACTGCACTGTAGAGCCTGTGGCCACTCCTACCGCACTGTAGCCTGTGGCCACGCCTACTGCACTGTAGTCTGTGGCCACTTCTTCTATTACTGTACAAATTGTCACCATTTCTACTGCACTGTAGAGCCTGTGGCCACGCCTACTGCACTGTAGAACCTGTGGCCACGCCTACTGCACTGTAGTCTGTGGCCACTTCTTCTACTGTACTGTACAAATTGTCACCATTTCTACTGCACTGTAGAGCATGTGGCCACTCCTACCGCACTGTAGCCTGTGGCCACTCCTACCGCACTGTAGCCTGTGGCCACTCCTACCGCACTGTAGCCTGTGGCCACTCCTACTACAATGTAGCATACTATCCACAGACCCTGCTGCCCTCTAAAGCCAGTGCCCACTACTCATACCCTTCCACCTTCCATTTAAATCTTTCAAATTTCAGTGTCTGACGCTCTTCCATGTTCATACAAATTCTTCAACGACTATCATTTATTCCTTTATCTTGGTAGTGGTGATTAATGATAGATGTGATCAGCTGAAATTTTACCAATGATTTTTTTACACAATAAAATATTCTGTAAGGCTGCCCTCACAATATAAATTCTCTTACTTATTAACCCTAAGAATGGAATTATTGATACACAATGTTTACTTCAACTAAGTGCATAGGATAAATACCTCCAATGTGACTCAAAATTAATGAGCAAACACATATAAACGAGTCATTCATATCAAAGCACTTTCGCTGTGAGCCTCCTTAAACACTGCTTCATCTTTTGACTCAATCCACATAGTCTTTGTGACCTCAGGGGTCATCCCTTTCCAATCCTTTCCTTGATCGGCAATCTGAAAAAGTACATAAAATCAATGTATTTAAATGGTACATTTTGCCATTCCCCTGGATCCACTGTTCATCACATATTTCATACTTTGTCTTTGAATCAGTTTTAAACTTATAAAGCACAGAAGATAAATTCATGATACATGTCATCAAGAAAGAGTCATATGAGGCTTGCCCTACACTGCGTTATTACAGAATTTGCACACAGAATTCGCGGAGAACACTATCTTGTTATTAAAAGGTCTTTGATGTGAATGTACTTACTTCATGGCATTCTTCATATTTTTTAATAGCAGCTGCTGCCCACTGAAGTAGTTCAATACCATCTGGTGGCATCTTAACATCGCTCTCTTTCTTGTTGAGAATGAACAGCACTCGTGACAAGTCTCTCACCACATCTCTAAATATCAATAAAAAGGATATCTTGTCAACCACAAGTTGAAAATAAATCCAAAGCAAAAATAAATCCAAGGAGAACAGAATAGCTTGAAAAGTCCTGCTAGTTATTTTCAAAGGCTAGATGTATCCGACTTCGAACAACGTCGAAAAGGGAATGAGGACGTTTGTTAGGGAGACGGTTCGCACGTGGCGCCTTGGGTCGGACTGTTCCATTTTTTTTTCGAAGGGGTGTTCTGTTTTGGGAACAATGGCAATTAGTCGGTTATCCAGGTAAGTATTCACGAAATAGACATCAAGTGACAATCAACAAATCAACCATAAGATGAAATAACAACAGTATAAACAGAGAAATTAAACTTCGGAGACTAAACCTTCACTATTCCAACAGCTTAGTATATAATTATTTTAATGAGTTTTATCATTTTCATTTTCTCGTAACGAGACTTAGGCCGGGCACTCACTGCGATGTTCGACAATTCCACTCCGCTCCCCGCAAATGACAAGCGGTGCCATCTGCTGATTGTCAGCGGCACTGTGAACGAATCGTCATTAACAAAAATCCGCTGCACGCATGTTGTGGCGTTGTGTTCTTCATAGAATTGCGTCGGCCAACGACCATCACCGTCAGACCATGGAGGTGTTATTGAGGAGATCACTTGGCAACATATCCCTTTGACGTGACAAATTAATGTGTTCTCCGCATTTGTATCGCGCGCGGGCGTCTGTCTCATTATAAGCATTTTTTCGTTAGCAACAACATGACAAAAACAGGCTTCTATACGCTTCAACACAGCAGTGTGTGATAAAGTGTTTGATATTAACTCATTATATGTGTTAAAATTAACAATGTTCCCCCGATTGGTTTTTTTTTTACTTTTAGTATGTTATCATGTGTATATTTCAGAACAGATTCAGAAAAATATTTCTGCTGCAATTAGTTCTGTGTTCATTATAATTTTGTCTAAAGATTGACTGGTTCAATTATTAAAACTGAGATTGAATTTTTGAATAGTTAACCCTCGTTAACCCTAAAATGACTTAGTTTATTATAATCTTCAATCATTCCTTAATTAATATGTTAAAATTAGAATTATCGAGTTTTATCCAATTTATGGAAATTCAAGTAATATACTAGTACCGGTACGGTCATTTATAATGCGCCTCTTCCTTGTGGTTATAAAGTGCAGTTCTTTTCCCTGGTCATTGGGTCCACATGCTAAGTGTTGCTGCTGGTAATCAGCGCAGGAGCAGGCAACCCCACCAGGTACCCATTTATACTCCTGGGTGGAGAGAAAGCAATGCAGATAAAGTGTCTTGCTCAAGGACAAGTGAAATGCACAGCGAGGGATTGAAACCCAGACCTCGAGTTTGGGAAACCAAACCATTCTGCTGCGCTAAACTATACTTTTAAAGCTCATGTAAATGTTTCATGAAATTCGAAACTCTTTTTTTGTAGAAATTATTAATATGTTTGGTATTTCTTGAAAGGTGAATGTATTAGCTTCAAGGTGGGAATGATTGCGCAGCCATAGTGGTTGACTGTAAGTAGTGCCCGCTGAGCACTTGATGGTGGGGAACACATTAAACTTTAAAGGCATCACGTAAACGTCTTTTCACGCGCTGCGGCAGCTTTGTTCTTGGCTCACTTGCATAGCACTGCGTGCGCTGAGCTTTTTCGAGTGATCTCCTTCTCAATAATACCTCCATGATCAGACATAGCAAGTGCTCGGCTTTAGTCTTTGTATATCATCTTGTTTATATGTTTATTTTGTAAAAAGATTGCCACTTAAAAAGTTTGCTGTACAGCACACCCTTTGCCCTTGTGCCCGAAGTTGAATTAATCCAAAAACACTCAATCCACTAATGTAAAATTACAAAATTAATAAAAATGCACTTACTTGAATGTTTCTATTCTGGGGTTACCATGCTTGGCAGAATCTAACAGCATCTTCACCTCATTTGACATGGCAAGAAAGACGGTTGCAGAGGGTCTGAGATTGGAGATCTGTTGCAGAAACATGTCTCGTTTCACTTTCTTTGGTGTGGTCAGGTTCAAGGAATCAATATCACCATCAATTTCATCATTCTTTTGACTACTGTTCATGTCATCTCTTATACTTCGCTCTTCCTGCAGGCTTCCTCGGACATCATCCTCTTCTAAAATTATCAATTTTCATTCAGATATATTTGAAGCCACCACTGAAAATTGCTTGTGTCATAGAATAAACCATATACGGATTTTCTAATAAACTCCCCTTAAATTGGTGAGAGTTTGAAACAAACTTGTACAAGTGCACAGGTCATTACCACTACCATCCCACTGCTGCTACAAGATCTAGGTTTCCCCCATAATAATCATAATTTGTTATTGTATATACATAGAGAATTCAAAGTATTTCTATACCAAATATTTACACAGAAAAATGAATGAGCTCTTAAAGTAAAGTACACTTTACATCATTTGTAGAATTTAAAAAGCAAAATATAGAATATTAACTGACCAAACATATCACTGTCTCTGTGTGAGATTGATTGCATCTCCAAATGATGGTGTTGAAAGTCGCTTGGTTTCTCAGTGTCCCTCTCCGTTGATGGACTTGATAATGCTAGGGAATAATTACTGTGATCCCTATAGAAAGAAACAAAAATAAATATTATATACTGGTTTTGATGTGTCGCTGCTATGCAGATAATGTGCCTTGCTCAAGGACACAAACAAAATGCACTGTAAGGGAATGAAACCCTGATAATGAGGGAAACCAAACACTTCTCAATGCATGAAACCGCTTCAGTGTGATAGATCATGAATAAAAAACAAAAAATAAAGAGAATCTCTTACTTATGTCTTCTATAGATAATACAACAGATAATGGTGAGGAGGATGGTTGAAGTGATAGTGAAAACCACTGCAATGAAGATGATTGCGAACTTGGTTAAACCTTTTTTATCCTGGTCAACGTTAGCTAGAAAAACAAATGAAAAATGACAGTAAGGATACGAAATATCACAAAAATGATACGGTAGTAGTCGTGATGATGGCATGTGTACAGTATGTGCAGGGATCACACATACCTTCAGTTATAGATACACGCGTTCTGCTGTCCTTTGATAAACCTTCAGACAATATCAGTTTGTGTATGTGGAGGGATCACATATACTTATACTTTTTGTTATTGGTACACACATTCTGTTGTCATTTGATTTACAAACCGTTTAGACAACATCAAATTGTGTATGTGCAGGGATCACACATACTTTTAGTTATTGATACACACATGTTACTGTCTTTTGATAATTACAAACCTTTTAGAAAACATCAATGTGAGTATGTGCAGGGATCACACATACTTTTAGTTATGTGCTACTGTCTTTTTTGTCTTCTGATAATTGCAAGCCTTTCACACATAAACAGCTTCCACGTATGCAGCTTGAGTTACTAGGAGTTGAACACGTGGAGTTTGATTCACATCCAACTTCAAACAAATAGTAATCCATTAAAAAATTAATTATAATGATAAACAGTATATTGTTTAATAATAAGCACTGTATGATTGCATATCATACACTAGTGTAAATTATTATACAAAGGTTAGGTTAATGCATGAACAAAATTCCAGACAGCCTGCAATAATAACATAAAATGTGACCCAAGCTCACATGTAAACTCGCACTGCACTGTATTGAGAAACAAGCCTCAATACCCAGAATATCGCGGTGAACGTGAATTTTGTTCTATTAATCTTACTATTCCTGAAGTTTGAGTTTAAAACTCCAACTGTAAGAGGTAAAATTTAGAAATTTTCAGATGGGAGCTAATGAAACATGAACAGAAACCTACAAAGCAATTTTCTCAAAACTTGATTTAAGAAAGTTGATAAGATGACAATTATTCAAACGGTCATAACTTTGCTTCCAGACACCCGATTGAGTTCATTTAACTGTCATTTTAAAGTAAATGATATGTTCTATGCCATTATAACAAAAACCCATTTTAGCTTGAGGATGAGTTTACAGCCTGTTTGTGAGCTTGGGTCACAAATAATATAAAAGTCAAAGAATTAGTGGTTGCAGTAGTGGTAGCAGCGGCAACAACAGTAGTAGGAACACTTAAGCTGTATTAGTAAATTATTAGTAGAACAGGTAATATTAGTTAGTAGACATTATAGTAATACCATATTTATTCAAATACTTTGAATATACTGTACATATCCATTTTACACCAAAAAATAAACGCCTCCCTCGAATATGTGTCTCCCTCAAATAAATGCCCCTTAAAAAACCTTCGCAACAATAAACGCCTCGGGGTGTTTATTCAAATAAACATGGTTTGTTGCAAAGACGAGCCAAACCAGTCACTTGTCGCAAATCTGGTTTCAGAGATACAAAAAAATGCTGGAATGTAAAAATTTTTAAAATCTAATTTTTTGCACTAAATTAACCTTTATATATCTATACATCATGCCACCTTGTTATTTTTCCCATTTTCAATGTTAAAACAACAATATTTAATGATTTGGTGATAGTTTCTGAATGAGAAATGAACTTTGAAGGCTGATTTCTCAAATATTGTATATCTAAACTCCTGTAACTTCGTAATGAAATATTAGATTTAAAATAATTCTTTCACCATTTTATAGCTCTCAGTTTACTGTTTCACTCTGAATTAATAACTAAAAATTGATTTTTGCGACGTGTGATTGGTTTGGGTTGTCTTTGCCACAAATAATGCAACAAATAAAGAATCACAATGGCTACTATCACTTTTATTAGTTTCTTTCATACTCTCTTAAACAGAACTTCATTACAGGTCAAGAAAAACAATCAGTTCTTTTCAGAACTATCTATGTGGTGTACAGTAGAAAATTATTCATGACAACAATCTAGGAAAAAAGTCAGGTAATACTTCTAAGAGAAAGAGTTTACTGTTACCATTCTATTTTCTAATCTAATACATGTACTTGAAAATGCATTTCTTCAAATTTGCTACTCTGCCCATAGAATAATAATAATAACAATAATAATAATAATAATAAATAATAATATTAATAATAATATAATTATAATTATTATTAATATAATTATCAATTATTATTATTATTATAATTATTATTATTATTATTAATATAGGCCTTTTAAATCAACTATCTAGTAGTACCTAGTAAACTTAGCAAATGTTCAATAATAAATGAACACTTATCCTAAACAATTAAGGTAGATGTTTAACATAATATTTATAATTTTCAGTAATTTTGTTTTAAATAGATATACCATGCTGTTTAAGCAAAGTTGTTGACAATGATACAAATTGGCTGTAATTGGCTAATTGGACTTAACAAATTTACATGTCAACTAATTGCCTTCCATATATAATATCCACACCTAATCCAATGTATCTACTAGCATTGCTATTCAATAATCCCAGCCAGATGCAACTTCCCATAAAGCAATCCGATGGGAATAGCCGGAACCTATTCTACGGAAGTCAATCACTTCCTTCTGATACAAAAACATCAGTGCTAATGTTCTCGGGAGATGAAAGCCAGGATGATATACTACTGTGTACAGAAAGCTATGACACAGCATATAATTCAAATAATCTATTTAAAGCTATGTACTGATTATCAAATTTTCCTTGACAAAAACACTGTTGTATGCATATATAGAGTCATGGTGTGTCTGTATATGGTCATGATGTGATGTCATCATGACCATATTTAGGCATGTCACATTTTTGGGTCAAATAAAATGTAATAAAATGCAGCAATTTATAAATTATATTTTTGTCTGATTTTCAAATGAATTTCTGTTATTTAATGGACAACAAAATTATTTTGCATCTTATGTTTACCTCACCATGTTGTTTATGTACAAGGTTCTGTTGCTTTAAAATTGTTCATCCCTAATCTATTTTTATGGTGAATTTTGCAATAAAGATTATCATTTACTAAATATTAATTTTACTGTATTGATTATTACTATAAATATTAATATTACTGATTTTGTAGTTTATTGTCTGGCATCTCTGTGATCCAGTTTTGACTTAGGCCTGTAAATATTTTGTCTCCCCTATTTCATAAAATCATGACAGTTAGTATTAATGTTTTCATGCACAAATGAAATAAAACATTTAATTAATGTTGAATAAATAATTGATTATATTGACCAACGGTAGATGCATCCAATATAAATGGCAATAAAAACAACGAGACTACACTTGAATACACAGGACCATTCAGTCATCCAAGGTTAGCTATAAGCATATTATTCAAACTACCACAAATTAAGAACACTTTGTTGAGCCTACACAATACACTTGAATTGAGAGTTTGAATTATGCCAGAAATGTATGTAGAATCGTCTTTGAGTTGAGAAAGGGCAACAATAAAATGCTTACAGAATGTCTTAAACACTATTATAACACACCTAAATAGATCCTTGTCATTTAAATGGCGGATTTCCTATCACATGACATTAGTTATTCCCACTGTACTCATAAACATTCATTATTCGTATACTATTGTATCTTTGTAAAATCGTGTCTTTGTCACTTGGGTACTAAACTCATTTGTGTTATTTCACTTGATGAAAGGCATGTTAAAAAAACATATTAGAATTCCAAAACATTATACAAATGCGTAATATTAATAATGACATGCCTACTTACAGTAATGTAATTACAGTATATTTTATTACTTTAAAAACAGGTAAAAAGTTTGACATTTCAGGTCCATCATATAACCATTTTCAAGATCAAATGATTTGAAAACAGAAACACCAACAAGGTGTCAGGAAGTAATATGTTTACAGTTTATAGTAATTCAAATCATTTGACCCGAAATGGTTCCATTACGGACATTAAACATAATTTTTTCTATCAATAAATTTTGTGTTAAAGTTATACGTAAACATCTGTTGATTTGCAGATAGAATGATAGAATGTATAAAACATCGCTTTCGTGTAAACAGCACAATACCGTAGTACTTAAGCTGTGTCTTTGTAAAGGGAGTGGTGGTTATTTTGTGGTAGATATTTGTGTCTTCTACTTTGAGTTGTATTGTAGTTCAGGGATGTAATTATGGTGGGCGGGGCCACCCTGCCTTGAAGTTTTCCACCCAGTCTAAAGCCAATTTTATGGCCCTCCACCCACCTGAATATTAACCCTCTTGCCATCATTCAAATTTACTTTTAGTATTTAGAGTTTAACAATGTTATCACCCACTCACCTACTTAAAATGTCTACCATCCACATTTAGTCTTCTACAGCTACTACCCTGGTAGTTATTTGGTGTCTTATGATATAAAAAGGGAGTGGTAGTAATTTGTTGTCTTCTGAAGGGAGTGGTATGTTGGATTTGTTAATCATGTCCCTACACTACCTAATTCTGAAAGCATTTAATTTCTTTTTGCCATTAGTGTGTGCAATTCTAGACACCAAAATATGCAGAAATTGCAGCGAACTCCCAGTATTTTAACCTTTGATCAGTGAAGTTCATAGTCTTCTTGTTATTTGATTTATGAGATTCAAAACTGGTTGAACTTCCTTCCAACATAACCAGCATACAGTACTGTAGTATTCAGCCTACAATAACGAATCTTGACAGACCAAAAAAAAATTGTGGTGTAAACCCATGCACAGTGATATCATGATACCACCAGGATCAGTCACCAATATTGTTCATGCTTTTAAGATGGTACATTGTCAACCACTGAGATCCTCACAGAATTTGGTTAATAAAACGGTAACCACATGGCTGAAAATCTAGGTTTAAATTATAAATTATTACAATTTTTTGGGATTCTTTTCTTTATCAATAACAAAAAATACATATTTTCAAAAAAAGCTGACAAATATTTGGAGTTGATTAATCTTTGGTCTCATAAGGTTTCATCACTTAAAGATACACAACAAAACATGATGACAACAGGTGAAATGTTATCTGAATGCAGGTTTATGTACACTCCAGCATACCATAGGGGTACCTGATTGATTACAATAGGTACATGGAATCTCTCATCTCATGGAATACTATTGGTGTTGGAATAAATTTGACCAGATGCAACTCAATGTAGGTACTTGTCTAAAGTCAAATCTAAACAAACTATTTTAAAATGTATATTAAATACATTGAATTGATAATTTAAAAAATATTAAATAAAGTTATCCACTAATATTGAGACTTGGATGGATTCAGTTCTTAATGAAAAAATAGCAAGGGAAATATAAAATTTTCAATAAAACCTAATTTACTTGTTAGTATTCCAAAAAAAAGTTGCCTCAATACCTCACTATAAGTGAATGAATGATGAACAAATGAAAGAATTTCCAAGAAGCCATATATTGAAGTTGTATTGGATTTATCTGCAATACATATTTGAAACAAAGATAAATCTGTATTTATATGTTTGTTTTTCTTAATAGAAAGAAGACAGTTAGTGAAGAGAACATAATAGCCAGAATGCAAAGACACTAGGAAAGAATACGGTCAATACTTATTTCCATACTTGTTACAGATCAGACGTTGAACATTAATAAAACTAGCATGCAGACATCCTTTCAATGCATCCTGACTGAAAGGCTGTTGGGAATTTACCTGTAACATGGTCTACGGCTGATGCTAGGTGGACTAACAGACTAGATTGCAAGATAACAATGCAAAATACACTATCACTTATGATCTTCCAACCCATGACAATAAGCTAATCATCCATGTACTGTACCTAAAGACAAACAAATTAGGTTATAATAGACAGTAAGCCATTAATGCAAATAAAATCTACTATTAACATGGACGTTAATGGAGCACGCTCTAACCATGGTCTAACAGGTCAGTAACACTTAACAATATTATTTAACAAACAAAAACAATACAATTTCAGATAACAATAAATTATAATATTGAAATAGGTATTACTGTACAATCGAATAACATACATAATTAATACCATAAAGAATATAAAAAAAGTTTTAGAAATATCATAAACTGAACATAAAAATATAATAACTAAAAATCATAAAAAATTATAAATAATTATTATCATAAATAACAATATTAAGCATGTTTTAATTTACAGTATCCCGTAAGCATCCTCCCAGAAATTCTAGATAGATGATGATCAAGGCTTCTCTTGTAATAACAATGTAATGCTTTGTGTACAGAGTGCTAACAAGTTCAAATCTTACTGTACAGTAGGCCTACTACAATAATTATAACAACAATGACGACAACAACAATGACTACGACACCAACAACGACGACGACACCAACAACGACAACCACGACACCAACAATGAAAACAATGACAGAAACATAATAAAAAATAATAATTGTGGTAGTGATGATGTACTTTGAAACTTCTTGAAATAAAAATTATATTTCAAAATAATCAAGCATTGAACACACTGCGAAAATCTAAACCCAATACAAGTAGCAATACAGTATCATATATTTATTTATTCATTAGTACTAACCAACAGCGATAACAACCACCACTCAGTTAAAATACATATAAAATATTTACAGTATGTAAATCAATATAAAAATACATTTAAAAGTACTAACAATTTTTGATTTAAACACATTTAAACTGTCAAAAAATATCAATATCAATATTAGACATAAAACTTAAAACAATCACATAAACGTTTAAACAAACCTCTACATGTAACATCAGAACGACTAAAATCATTATTTTCAAATCAACTACTGTAAAGCAGAGTAAAAGAACAATCACAATTTGACAATCAGCAAATACCAGTGTTTAAGCTGCCATAATAGCCAAATCCTAATAAAAGCTGAAATTCGCTAAATATTTTCATTCAAAAAGCCAAAAACTTAATGGAATTGAAGCTATCATTGCTTTATATTAAATTCTTTTGTTATTACTATTAATAAAATTTCTATTTTCATACCGAATTAGCCAAATTGCATAAAATTATTCATGGCCAGCTTAAACCCTGATATAGTGATAGAATAAACTCTAATATAATTATCAATATAATTATTACTGTTATAGTTAAATGATAGAGAAAAATAAATTATATATTATAATCATGAAAAACGTTCAAAATATAAATTAAGGGCACATACAGTAGTAAAAATTATTTGATTATCACTCTTTTTAAAAAAAAAATTGATAAGGGCAAGAGGTATTTTTTCTTGTGTGCGTGAACATGACATAGTTTTTCGAAGTGGCAGATGCATTTAAACAACTGCCTTCTGATTCAATGGCCTATAAAAAACTAGGCCTATATTACGGTGAAAAAATCAAATGTTACTCGAGCATCAAAGGGAAGGGAACACCCTAATCATAGTTATATAGTAGGCATAGGCGCCTATACTTTGGTCTTTACCTTGAGCTAGGAAGCCTTTGCCTAAACTTTCTTTCTTTGATGTCGTAGGTTAGTTTTTGCCCAACAACCAATCCCACCAAACACACCCATCACAAGAAAGACCGCCCATTTGTAATGCATTATGTAACAAGTTATTTTTAGCAGCGAGAGTCTCTATGGAACATGTGAGTCTTCATGCTGTGAATCAACGACCCGATCAGCCTACTGGGTGGGTCTCTTTAGAGACGGACCGTGGTGTTGCCTATTTTTAGCTGCAGCTGTGGAACATGCGAGTCTACACACTGTGAATTAACGATCTGATCAGCCAACTGGGTGGGTCTCTTTAGGGACGGACTGCATTGTTGTCTATTTTTAACCGCAGTTAGCGAGCAGTTTATTTTCAGCGACAGTAAAAAATAAGTTTAAAGAATGGGCTTTGCATTTCAACTTTATGGTGATCCCAATGTCTGATCTAATCAATTAAAAAAAAACTTCAAAGAGTTTGAAGTCTGCTGCATTCGGAGCCAATTCATTTATATTTTAAGAGCATTTGTTTTTTGCAAAGTTGGTTTTATGCACGTAAATGATGCAACAAAGAAAAAAAAAAAAATTTAAAACAAAATAAAATTATTCCCGCATCAATATTTCCAAAATTTTTTATCAGGCGGGAGTGATAATCTAATAAATTCTTCTATTTGCCCTAATTCAATAATAATTAATACCACGTTTAGAAAAAACTTAGTGGTGTTCACTTATAATAGAAGATTGCTGACTTGCATGCAGTGGTGTGCGGTTATGTGCCTTAGTGAGAAAAAAAGAAAATCAATTTTCTTACATCAGCCCCAACCAGGGCCCTAGGCCCTAGGTAGGGGCCTATACTAAAATAAATATCTGTTTCTATGAATATAAGCGTCTACAGAGTTTATCAGATCAGTAACTAGCCATATTGGCACTTTCTCAATTCATCTTACCGAATTGTACGAGGATCACACTGCAGACTTAGGCCTAGGCTAGTAAGGTACAGATCTAGGCTCCTCCTAGGCTGGGAGACATACATACACACACACACACAACGAAAGAAGAATAGGCCTAGCCTAGGCTAGATAGAGAGTAGAGTACGGAAGTTCGTCCACTTGGTTGGAATACAAACGCCACAGTGAAAGAATAAATTAACTATCATTATTATTGTTTTAACCTCGAGAAAAAGCTGCAGTGGGTGGAATAAGCTGTACTTACTCGTATATTTATAAGCTACCGGCTTATCTACTCAAAACTCCCTCGGTTGTGGTTGAAAGCGAAATTCCAGTGCAATCAATCGGCGCCATATGATCTTTGCTGCGAGTGTGTTAGTTCGAGCGGATGCCGATTCTCCGAACGGATACAAAAATGATAGTGAGCCCTCTATAGTGTTGATATTTTCGAACTAAATTTAATCAAAACAGAAAGAATGATGCAGTGTCAAAAAAGTAAGAATTCCCTATGAATGATTCTATTAGGAAATGAAAACATTACAATGTAAAATGTTTGAATATATTTTGTTATTATTATTATTGAACTTTTTCTAAATATTCATTATTTACAGTTTTTTTAAAATGTATTTTACTACGTATAATGTTGTCTAGAGCTTCTTTGTTTCTTAATTTAGAATTGCTTTTTGTTTGTTTTTTTTTTCTTGTGCCTTGGAGATCCTTCAACAGAGTTCCTCACTTTTGGATATCTTCGAAGGACTTTTTGTTGTCTTTTACTTTACCCTAAAATGTTGTAATAAAAAAAAAATATTTAGATAATTGGAATATAAATTCTTTTCAGAATGCCGAAGTGAACAGGAAAAAAAAATTGTCATTGCATCCTGCGTGCAACATGTTTTGATAGATACTGTTGTAGCAATTAAGGATAGAAAACATACTCCTAACATACAACATGGGCGATCACATAAAAATAAACATTATTAAACAAAGGATTACTAAAATGTGTTAATAAATTAATGTAGCTAGCTGCAGCACTATATGATCGAACAATACTAGTAGTAGCATGGGCAAGACTAATATCCACCACGAGAATAGGTGGGGATGATGGCCCCAACGTAGACGCCGATTTATCCCGAAAAGAGCATAGGTGGGCAGGGGCAGAGGCAGCCCAAAACTCCTCAGAAGGGACCAATTTTTAACCTTTGCTGACAAACATAAATCACACATTTAATAAACATATTGTAAACTGTAAATTTCCACAAGAAACAGTGGAATCTTATTTATTCAAGACATTTATGACGCATCCTCCGGACTCTAGTTGAAACATTTTTGAGTACATAGTGTACCGTTTTTTCATCAAATAATAAAGTAATTGAAGAAAACACATTTATATTCTTAAAATACACTTTTGGAATAAAGAATGTTTTTATTTATTCAGTGAAACTCTGCTATAAATCAGGTATACTACTATAGTAACATTTAACAGAGTAAAAAAAACATTATCTGGATCAGTGTCATCTCAAAATAGTGTTTTTGAAGAAATGGTTGTCATATTACTAAGTTCTCAGTGAATGGTTAATTTACTTTCACATTTTAACCAAAAGATTATATCACTCATTCACATTGGGGACGGAAAAATTACATGTCCAAGGTTTGTTCTAAAATAACTAAACACTCTTATACTACTGCCTATACAGAGTAACTCCAGCCAAAATGCAATTTCATCCAACATTAATATAAAGTAATAATTACAGTACAAATAATTGACCATTCCGGAGTGTCAATCAAACTTCACAACTGACCAATCAAAACAGTTCCCACAATCGTACTTTGATAGCATTGCAATACTGTACCGGCTACTACATAAAGCCTGTTTTCCACTCGGTTCCACTCGGTTCCTTCGCAAAAATTAAAAACATTTCGAACTACCGATTTCGCCTGAAGCGCAAACTCTGATAGAAATGTGGAGGTGCATGCGCATGAACCAACGCTTGTAAATTCGCAGGTGGAAAACAGGCTTCAGGATCAACTTCAATACTAGCCACTAAGCAGTCTAGTGGTTATGATACCAGACAATTCATGGGTTTGAATCCCACCCAAATCACTTAAGAAATAACATTGCAGCACTCAGTGCAACTTGACAATCAAATTCTTACCACTAAATACAAGCTTGGTGTTCTAGTGGTTATGATACCAGACTAGTTATCTAGGTCAAGGTTTTGATTCCCGCCTATATCACTTGCGAAATATTTTTTTCCGCAGATTAAGTATTTGAGAATGAACCGAGTATACACGAGGTTGGGCAAAAAATTATTCCTATACACAAACACTACACAATGCATTTTTTATCTGGGATACAAATTTTCCTAACATAACATAATCATTATATTGCACATAAATACATTTTTATATAAAATATTCAATTTCCAATATCTAAAAAGTTTGCCAAGTCACTAATACAATAATATCACTTAAAAATAAACTCTTCTTTTTTGGGAAGACTTGAAATGGTTGTTTTTTTCAGCACACTGGAAATAAGCAATTCAAAATCCTGTGATACCAAAAAATATACAGAAAAAATATATATAGATGTTAGCTGATTTGTACCAATGAAACAGTCACACAATTCAATACCATAGATTGCCATTGGATCCTATATTAGGTACTATAATACAATGGAACCTATATAGGAACCATGAATACTACCCTCCATTAGTCTTTGGATTAATGCTGTTAAAACACAGCATCACGAACACCTATGAAAAAACTCCAGATTTTTCATCAAGGTAGATTTCTATACACTTGGCATCACAGTTCACTTTGACATGGCGATGCTCTTCAAAAGGTTTTTCAACAGAGGGGGTAGTGGTAACATATCCACTTTGTGCTTACTGTTTCCAATACTGTTCAAAATTGCTGAGTAGCATTTTTCTTGGAGGGATAATTTACGGGAGCTTCTAACTCCAAGCTCAAGTTCAGTTAACGCTGATGTTGAACAGGCCAAAGGGTAAAGTTCTTCTATATCTTTTCCCGACAGTCCTGGGACAGAAAAGAAAATGTCTCTATTAGTTTTGAATAAATTCATTAGAAATTGATTTCTCAACATTTTCAAAAGAATAATACCACACTGCAAGCTATGAAAACTCACAAAAGATTTTGCTTTTCAGAAGAACTCCAATAAGATAATTCAAGTGCTTTGACAAGTCATTGTTAAGTGGTCTCCATAAAAAAGTGTCAGTGAACAACATTATCACTGTCGTCATTACCATGATTGATATTGTCATCAACATCGTTGTCATCATCATCATCATCACCATCTCTATTAGTTTTGAATAAATTCATTAGAAATTGATTTCTCAACATTTTCAAAAGAATAATACCACACTGCAAGCTATGAAAACTCACAAAAGATTTTGCTTTTCAGAAGAACTCCAATAAGATAATTCAAGTGTTTTGACAAGTCATTGTTAAGTGGTCTCCATAAAAAAGTGTCAGTGAACAACATTATCACTGTCGTCATTACCATGATCAATATTGTCATCAACATCATTGTCATCATCATCATCATCACCATCTTTGGTATCGTCTTCGTCATTGCAATTATCATCGTTTTTGTTGAAACGTCCAGGTAAATGCCGATGTTATTTTGGTTCTCATGAAAGTTTACCAATATTTCATCATTGTTGTTGTTATCATTGTTTTCACCATCATCTTCAACCTCATCTCCCTCGTCTTCACCACCGTCTTCACCATCGTCATTGTCATTATAATGTTACCAAGTTCTTCCTACTCATCAATGTTGTACCGGAACTTACCTGTAAATGCTACACCTAAGCTGACACCATTTTTATAAAATGTTAGCGTGCCATTGTACAGGTTAAGTTGAATACCGATGCGAGTTTGTTGGTCAAAAAATGGCTCACAATAATGTTTATATTTCCCATCATGCCATATGCTGTCTCTTATACACATCTAGATGTGTATAAGAGACAGGAATAATACCACACTGCAAGCTATGAAAACTCACAAAAGATTTTGCTTTTCAGAAGAACTCCAATAAGATAATTCAAGTGCTTTGACAAGTCATTGTTAAGTGGTCTCCATAAAAAAGTGTCAGTGAACAACATTATCACTGTCGTCATTACCATGATCGATATTGTCATCAACATCGTTGTCATCATCATCATCATCACCATCTCTATTAGTTTTGAATAAATTCATTAGAAATTGATTTCTCAACATTTTCAAAAGAATAATACCACACTGCAAGCTATGAAAACTCACAAAAGATTTTGCTTTTCAGAAGAACTCCAATAAGATAATTCAAGTGCTTTGACAAGTCATTGTTAAGTGGTCTCCATAAAAAAGTGTCAGTGAACAACATTATCACTGTCGTCATTACCATGATCAATATTGTCATCAACATCATTTTCATCATCATCATCATCACCATCTTTGGTATCGTCTTCGTCATTGCTATCATCGTCGTTTTTGTTAAAACGTCCAGGTAAATGCCGATTTTATTTTGGTCCTCATAAATGAAAGTTTACCAATATTTCATCATTGTTGTTGTTATCATTGTTTTCACCATCATCTTCAACCTCATCTCCCTCGTCTTCACCATCGTCATTGTCATTATAATGTTACCAAGTTCTTCCTACTCATCAATGTTGTACCGGAACTTACCTGTAAATGCTACACCTAAGCTGACACCATTTTTATAAAATGTTAGCGTGCCATTGTACAGGTTAAGTTGAATACCGATGCGAGTTTGTTGGTCAAAAAATGGCTCACAATAATGTTTATATTTCCCATCATGCCATATGGTTCCTTTGTGAGAGATACCCCAGCTGTGGCTGTCCATACCTAAAAGAAACAAGATCAGTATGTAAAAATAAAAAGGAAAAAGATAACCAAAGAAAGAAATTCTGCAAAATAAATAAATAAATAACAGCAACAACATAAATAAATATATTTTTCCAGTATTCTAAAGTAAAAGAACAATTGCAAGAAAAATCACACTACTGTGATCCCATATTTCAACCTTTATTTATGAATGGGCCTCAAATAATCCATTATTCTAATACAGTAATCTATAGATTCCACAATGAGAATACAAGAATAATTTTGCCCGACCTTCCTCTATACCAGGAGTGGGCATAAAAATTGGTTGAAGCGCCAAAGTGAATTTAACAGCGAGGGCAGCACCCAAACTTAGATGTTTCCAGTGCACTTCCAAAAACCTTTTTACACCTGTACATATCTTTTATATCGCTTTAAAAAAATAAAATTTGTATATAGCGCCATCTATATGAAAATCACGAAATATAGAGCCCTCTATGTTATTTTTTTTTTTCAACATTGTAGTGATGGAACTGCTACTAATTAAAGTCGTTGGTCAGTATAGCTTCATTAAAAGAAATTTATATGGCATGTATTCACATTTTAATGATGAATTCACTTCATTTTTATGAATTTTAGGGTATAATCGGCCTATACATTTTATCTTTTATAAAAATGTTATTATGTGTGCGCGAAAAGACAATGTAGGTGTGAGAAGTAAAAAGTGGATGCCCATGCATGAGACATTATGCGTGCGAGTTGGCAGTGTATGTTTGCCTAAAGCATTTAGAGAGATACTCACCTATTAAATTAACATACTGATAATTACTGGTGTGCAACAAAGCCTGTCGAGTACCCACTCCTACCATAACTGCCGTACCAAAAGGGGGCTCTGTAAATATCACCTCCCAATAGTATTCCCCCTCCCGAAAACCTTTTGTTCCACGTACACCTGCGGTTCCAATACTTTCATAAACTGGATCTAAATGAAAGAGTAATATTTACATTACGTTTGTGAACATTACAATTTTTCATATTTTAAATTGCTACTTTAAATAAGCTTGTCACCTTGCTAAAATGATTTAGGTAGTCCATTCAACAAACAGCTTATACTTGGAGGATTAGTACAAACAAGTTATCTCAACAACTCATAAAACCTAAAATATTTGCTTCACAACAATGCTACTAAACCCCAGCAGCAGTTAATCGATGCATTTGGCATTTTACCCTACCAGGTACCCACTTATATTGCTAGTGGAGAGAAGCAATGCAGATAAAGTGCCTTGCTCAAGGACACAAGTGAAATGTGCAGTGACAGATTGAAACCCTGACCTCGATTTTGGGAAAGCAAACTGTTTTCACTGCACCAAACCACTTCTACATAAAAGCTTCAACATAATACAATTTATTACTATCAACTGACAGACTGTATCATTGTCCTTGTAGTGGCCGACTTCCCCGTACTGTGTAAATATGTTTTATAAATTTATTAATACAAAAAATAAAAAATAATGCTGCTGCCTGTCATACGCACAAATATATTTTAAAAAATGGGTACATTCTTGTTAAATGATTGTAAAACTGATTGCATCAGATGGCTGGAATGATCGAATTCTATATTTATGAAAAATATGTTACAGTATTTGAATTAATTAAACTTTTTTCTTACCTATATGAAAATATGCAGCTAAGTGGTTGGTCGATAGTATGACATCACATGACTTGTTACATGCGTCCCAGCACCAATCGTCTGAGTGGTATTCGTTAAATGCATGCAGTGATTCAACCATGCCGTCTTCATTTGTCAATAAAGTAAATATGGAAATCAATCAATTCAAATTCATACAGTAATTCAATTCAAACTTTATTTGCTTCAGTATGCTATCAAGGCCCATCCGCAAAAACTACGGCCCATCGGCAAACACTACGGCCCATCCGCAAACACTACGGCCCATCTGCAAAAACTACCTGTCGTGCATGCCACTAATTAGTGTATGGCATCAACACCGAGTATTAATTGTACCAACATTTAGTATAGGGAAATTCACGTGAAAACGACAGTAGAAGGTAGAAGTCATTGCTTGTATTACACTTAACATGTATCACATCATACAATTATCAGTAATTTACGTCTGGTATATAAAAAAATTGCCACTGCCTTTAAATTTGTTCAAAATAGATTTATTTACTCACCACATTTTTTTCCCATCTTAATGAGGATCCTGTAAAAATTAAAAGATAGTCTAAAGTCTAAGTATAAAACGCTTAGTCTAAAGTTTATCGAAACTAATTAAGTGGATTTGTTTTTCTGACTGTCGGGTAGCCTACTCAACGCCTAGTGGTGGTATAGGCAATTTAGGCTGGATAGGCTGGACTTTCCAAATATGGCAGTTTGAACAATCGATGATCCAGTTGAAACCAGTTAGTTACTGCCAAGCATTGGGCCTAGATATTTGCTTTTAAAATCCTAACAAAAGTTCAAATGTAAACTACGAAAACATCACAAATAAGTCAAGAAATGTTAGAATTGCATTCATTCTATGGAGATGATTTTACTTGACCTGGCCGATGGGCCTCTTTCCCGTGAGCTGCTGCCCACATAAACAGAGAGCAAGCTAATCTCGGCCACCACCACACACAGTTTTCGCCTGTTTCCGTTGGAATAAGTCACTCAGTTTTATCAATTATGACATACCGATATCACAGGAAAATCTTGATCAGATATATTGATCTTACTTACCAAAGTTAAAGCATAAATCAACATTTAACTAACGAATAACTCTCAAATATAACGACTCAAATCAACTCACGTGTTTATTGTTTTGAAAACAACACTGAAGATAACAATCTTCTCCGTGTTTACGTTGAAATGCAAATATTGCTGTTCAATCTAAGTAACCTACTCCCCTGTTTGCTGCAAGAAATTGTTATCATTTCAGCAAAAAACCTTTGAATTTCCATTAAAACAAATACTTGTATATGTAAAACGTAATTAGTATCACTATATACAATAAATCTTATTTCCTTTATTTGGTATATTTGCTTAAAATTTTTTGAATAACTAACAACTTACTAATCCAGTAGCGGTAGTCGATCGATAAACAAACCACGTGGCCATTCCAGTGACGTATGGACGAGCCCACCAAACGTCATCATTGGGCTTATTCGACTGGTTCATTTCGTTGAGTACTTTTTTTCATTCGACTGGTTCGTTGATAACGAAAATTAACGTAACCAGAATGAGTTCAAAAACTGGATGAAAACATTTTTTTTTTTTGACGAAAAACCCATACTGCCGCAATCCGAAGCAGCCTTGATTGTAACGTAGCGTGTATGGCGGTAACTATGCAGCCATTTTTTTTGTCGAGTATTATACCAGTTTATTTTCTATTCGACTGGTCGTCTTTTAGGATTTTACCACTGCGCAGGTGGGACGACCAGTTTTTTATTTCTGTTAGCCTACACTTATTTTTTGACTTCAATGTGGGTAAATATTATAATTTTTATTTTCTGAAATTAAATCTAAATTATATTAACGCAAATGTTGTGCTAAACTGACCAATCGGCCATTTATTTGTTGGTCACGTGTTGATTAACGCATTCTTGTTACGTTAATTTGCGTTGTCAACGAAGTCTATTTTACGAACCAGGACAAAATCATTTCATGCCTCTATCGATTCTTGACGCGATTGTTTTGGACGCACCTTCGATTGAGAAGTGTGCCACTGATTGAAAAGTGTAGTTCCTAATAAATTATTATGACTTAATTTTTGCGCCATATAAAAACTTATTATTATTATTATTATTATTAATTTTATTATTATTATTATTATTATTATTATTATTATTATTATTATTATTATTATTATTATTATTATTATTATTATTGTTATTATTATTATTATTATTATTCATCCGTCACATATCATCATCCGTAGCTGAGTGAATTTGAATACGAGAGCATACCTTTAATCCAGGGCCCTGTGTTAACTCATGTGAGCACTGCAGGATTTTTCTCTAAAAACAACTCCACTACCATATTATATTGTTTCCTGTAATTGACGAGTTATTGCTGGAGGCCTATGCGAATCCAATATGAAATAGGGCCTATATATCATCACCCTCATCATCATATCATCATCATTCTCATACCATTCCATCTATCATCTTCATTTGGTTGGGGGTGGGGTAAAGCCAACCACCTCGGACTCCAAAGGAAAATAACATATCGGTGGAAATAGGGTCAAATGAGCTTCTTCTGAAAAAAAAAGTGTTTACGAATTTTGTTTGATGTGTATGAACTCTTAATTATCTTATACAGATGTGCTGCAAGTCCTTTCATGTTTTACATACTAACTTTTCACCCTTTTGAACTCTGAAAATTGTATCGAATACAATAAACAAAACATGGGAAGGGCTGTACAACAATTTCTATTATTTTTAGCCACCAATTGATATCCATCTGGACTTACAGATCCGCCACTGACCTCAGAATATGATTATCAATAATCCTTTTGTTTGCTGACTCATTATGAACGTAGCAACATTCTGGGTTAAGTACACTGGTAACCAACCAACCATGAGAGGATAATCCCTCCCTCCATAACTGTCTTCCTCACTCTTGGTGTCTGGTTTCGTGGAGACGTGCGGAGTTGCTCCTGTATATTTAGTTATTATTTCATTGATTGTTCATATCAGGTAGGTTCATAAGAATATACTGAATTCCATATGCCATACAGTATTTAGGCCTATCATTATATTATCAACTCAGGCGGAACATTACGAATGATAACACTTCAAGGCCTGTCAGACGCCACTCCTGCCACTAGTAAGCAATTCATTTGCTGCTAGGGGTTGAGCCTAGCCATCATATTCTTGTAGTCTAGGCCTAGCTTTAAAGCTAGGACTGTCACTGATCGCATAGGTTTTTTAGACGTCATAGTTTTATAACAACTCCCTGATCTAAGCTAGATAATACGTTTAATAATACAACCAAATTAAGGGTGTTTTAACAAGAACATCATTTAAACATAAGATTATAACTTAAAAGGGGAATTCCCTTCTTTGTTAAATTAAAGCCTCAGACACTTCCTCAGCTGGCGAGGTTCTTCTATTATATTTATAGGGGAGTGAGTGGGTTACTAAACTTTTACTTTGGTATTTAAACAGTAAAATACCGTACTCGCGCGAATAAGCGCCCGGGCGCTTAAAAGATTTTTTGCACTTTTTGAGGGGCGCTTATTCAAACGGGGCGCTTATTCGAACGGGGCGCTTATCAAAACAGAGTGGAAATTGAGGGGGCGCTTATGGAAATAGATGAAAATCGAGCGGTTCTTATGAGAACTTATTAAATTCAAGAGGCATATTTTGAATGAAAAACGATTATAAGGATATCAGGAAACCGCAAATTACGAATGGTGGTGCGGCGGAAACTTTCGTCCAAAGAGCATGGCTTGTCATGGCAAGAAAGTTGTGAGTACATGTATTATTACATAACAGCAGAATAGCAGATGAAATTAGTGGTGGTGGATAGCTTGTTGGCCATCGGCTGATTGAGATCAGCATAATGGCATGATCATTGCATGTTTTCTTGAAAACTCAGATGAGAATGTGTTAGGTGTAAATTGTCGGAAAAGCAGTAGGCTATAGAAAAATGTAAGAAGATGAAAGTTGGAAATATACTGTCTGTCCAAGGAGCTCTCATCTGTCCAAAATAAATATTCTCATTTTGATATTGACTAAAGGAGAATGTGATTCCACTCCACACCTCAAATCATGCCAACATCCACACAGTCCAGGATTGATTGAGTTATTGAGGGGGCGTTTATTCAAATTAGAAGGGGGCGCTTATTCAAATGGGGCGCTTCAGGAAATTTTCACGTTAGAAGGGGCGTTTATTCGAGAGGGGCGCTTATTCAAACGTGGCGTTTATTCGCGCGAGTACGGTATTGGGTGTTTTTTTGCTCCTACAAAATGAATGTTCAAGATGTGTTCTTATTTTGTGTATGGAAATATATTGAAGGAAAACACTGCTGTGATGAATTTGATATTTTTAATAAATGTAAATAAATGGTTTTAAATTATATTTTAAATATTTTCCTATTTTTTGTTATAGTGTTAATTTGATTGTCAGTAATAATGGTATACAACGGTAGAGTGTTGGTATATTCAATAGTAGGCTGCCCTCACTGTAAGAATGCTAAGGCGCTATTAACAGATAACGGCATTCCGTACACCGATATCAGTTTAGACAAATATCCGGCAAGTGTGAGGGAGGAGGTGTTGCAGAGGACCGGACGAACAACCGTACCTCAGATTTTTTTCAATTCAATACATATTGGTGGAAATGAAGGCCTCAAAGAATTAGTGAGTTACAGTCTCCATCTTGCAGGTTTATGCATTGAGTTGGTGTTATATTTACAAATATTTATTTTAAAAATACAAACAAATAACAATGAATATTAAATATAATTAAAGAAAATAGATTAATATAAAAATAAGATCTTTATATAAATATTTATGTTTTTACATAGGTAGTGTAATGCATATAGGATAATTAATGTGAAAAACTAAATCCTTTCCAAGCCAGTGGGGCTCATAGGGCTGGAGCTTATCCCCAGTTTCTGTAGCGTGAAGCGGATGAGAGTTGTACTCCCCTTGGATGAGACACTAGTCCGTCGCAGGTTAGTCCCAGCAGCTTACTGGTACCCAATGATACAGCTGGGTGGACTGAAGCAATGTAGCTAAAGTGCCTTGCCCAAGGACACAAGCGAATCTGCACAGCAGATAATTAATGTGACATTTATAGATTTTCTATACATTTTTCTTGTTTCTAAATGTCAACAATATGTTGACATAATACCATCATTGGTGGCAAATGTGTAATACAAAGTGATTTTGAATTACTTGAGTGTAGTTTCTAAGCTCTACAAGTTGTTAGAGGAGAGCCCCTGGGTGGCAGGGTGCAAACTGTTTCAGGGAGAATGCCTCCCAACAATTTTAATGCTTCACTGTTGCCATGCCAACAAGAGCACCAAGCACAGTGATTGAGATTAATAAAGAGAAAGAATAATTGCAGGTTATTTACATATTTCTTTACCTTTACCAATAAAATTCTATGCATATTCTGCATAGGATTTTATCTCAACATGTTGTGTAGTATTTCAGAAGAAATTGTATTTGTTGTTGAAGGTTGAAGATAAGAAACGCTTCCAGGAAATCCTTGCAGAAGTTGTAAACAATGAACCATCAGATGATGCACCCCAACCACCTGATCCAGCAACAATGTTAGCAACAGCAGGTAAGCCATGCCAACGTTGTGTCTCAATCTCAATCTGAAGACACTGATAGAGGACCCCCTGCGATATGCATCAGTGCGTATCAATCAATCTGCAACTAGGTGTTATTTGTTTATCAATATTTCATATATATATATATTATGCTGTATACTTTTTAAAATAATAAATGATATTGTATACACAACACAGTGTATATTCTAATGATATTGTGTACTCAACAGTGTAGCCTTGAGCACTACTGCAGTTGATATACTGTATGTGCGCTTTATAAATCTCATTATTATTATTTGGTGCTTCAAATGCTGTAGAGGATCCAACAAGTGATGTTGGACTAGTACATGCAGAAGCACAGTCATTTTTATGGGTACTTGGGTGGAGATATGAGGCGGGTGTGGCCCATCCATTGGGGAA